AATATATATTCTAGAAAAACAAAAAGGAAGAAAACTAAATATGAATGAGAATAAAATAATATAACCGAATAGAAATTATCATTCAAATCAATTGATTCAAAGGCGCCGAAATCCTTAACTAAAACAGTTTGTACAAATTAATCAAAATGATTTAAAAAACTATTCGGAGCCTGTGAGTAAACTCCTTGCAAATTATCTATCATTCTAGAAATGCACTCGTTTAGAATTTTATACAATGTTTTTATCTTATTAATGATGTAGCAATTATCAGTGCTTCTCGCATCTAAAACGCTCTCTTTCTTCATCAAATACATAATGATGGGCAAGACCTTGTATTCCGCGATAAGATTGAGTCCATTCCTCCATTTTATGTATTTCGTGTCAGTCTCAACGTCAACCTCCCAACAATGTATGATATTCTATTTAATAAAAACTAGTTAAAAGTCAAGTCTCAACGTCAATGAATGCCGTCAAAGGCCACTCTTTCATAGTTTCGATGCAAATCACAATCTCCGACTGCAGCTGATTGCACATGTCCATCAAATCAGCCCGTATTTCTTCAAGCTCTGCAGGCTCATAGACTGGTTTCCTCTTTTCATCGATCTCCTTCATATTCTCCTCTAAAATATCGACGCTATTGTAGAAGTGCAGAATATCATTAAGCTTGTACATCTTTGAACCTAAGCAAGATTTCAACTGAAGAACTGAAACGGACAGTCTCGTTTATATAGTAGTCCAGGTCATCAAAAAAGGTTCGACCTAATACCAGAGGTCATTTTGCGAAATGACATTTAGGTAGTTTCTTGTGAAAGTTGCAGTTAAACCTCGATTAGCGCTAAAAATGCGTTTCAGCTAAAATAAACCATTTTACCATTTAGTAAGTAGTTTTAATGTTCGAGTTATATTGAATCAGCATAAATTGAAGTCATACTATAAATATTTTTTAGATAGCATTATTAATTATTGATAATTAAGAAATAATTTATGTAATATGAGAAAATGTTTAATTACAAAAAGTTCGAAAATATTGCAACTAGTAAAAATTTTGAACGCAATTATGTATTATTTGCAAGGATTTAAATTACATGTTCAGAATTTTTGTTTACTTGAAATTTGATGATGTTTTTAAATTTCAATTCTGCAAAGATCGAACTATTCCGTTATAATTGAGTCAATTTACATGAAGATAATTAAAGTATTTTTTATTTTGTTGTGTATTTTCAGCTGCATCGAAGGAAACAAACGATCAATTAAAGATGTTTTCTATCAACAACTAATTAAACTGGATTGACAAATTGACAAATCGTGTTTCAATAAAAACAATGAAAAATAATTGGAACTTGTACCAATTAATTTCGAAGTTTATAAAACTCATTGAATGGAAGAAATCTTTGCTTGGATAAATATTCATTTTGATATTATTTGATTCTTTTTTTTTTTTTTTCAAAAATCCAAAATTTATGGAGATGATTTTAATGTTTTTATAGGGAATTTTTAAGCTAAAATATGTGCATTTTTTTAATATTTTTTTTTATTGTAATTATTAATTGAATCTCAATAATTCAAATCTTATTCATTTCGTTATAAACTAAAACTTAAATTCTAAAAATTATTAAATTTTTGATTAATTTCAAAAAACAAGTATGGTTTACCTTACAAATACAATATAAATTTATTGGCTAAATTAAAAACGAAATCAAAATTAATTCTATATTACAAAAAAAACTAAATTAAAATCAAATAAAACAATACAATGAAATATATATATACTAAAAAAGAGAAAAGGAAGAAAACTAAATATGAATAAGAATAAAATAATATAACCAAAAAGAAATTATCATTAAAATCAATTGGTTCAAAGACGCCGAAATCCTTAATTTAAACAGTTTGTACAAATTAATCAAATTGATTAAAAAAAAACTATTCGGAGTCTATGAGTTAGGTCCTTGCATATTACGTATCATTCTAGAAGTGCATTCGTTTAGGATTTTATACAAAGTTTTTATGTTATTAATGATGTAGCAATTATCAGTGCTTCTCGCATCTAAAACGCTCTCTTTCTTCATCAAATACGTAATAATGGGCGAGACCTTGTAGTCCGCGATAAGCTTGAGTCCTTTGCTCCATTTCAAGTATTTCGATTTATTCTGAACGCCAACGTTTGACGTAGAATACCATACTTCTATAGTTTCCAAGCAAATCGTAATCTCCGACAGCAACTGATTGCACATGTCCTGCAACTTAGTCCGTATTTCTTCAAGCTCTGCAGGCTCATAGACTGGTTTCCTCTTCTCGTCGATCTCCTTCATATTCTTCTCTAAAATCTCGACTCTCCAGTTGAACTGCAGAATATCATTAAACCTCTTCATCTTTGGACCTAAGAAAGATATGAACTGAAGAAAAGAAACGAACAGCCCCGTTTATATAGTAGTCCAGGTCATCAAAAAAAGGTAATATCAGACGTCTTTCTGCGAAATGACATTTAGGTAGTTTCTTGTGAAAGTTGTAGTTAAACTTCGATTAGCGCTAAAAATGCGTTTCAGCTTAAATAAATAAAGGTTTTAGGTTCGAGTTATTTTGAATCAGCATTAACTACCAATATTTTTAGCAAGCTTTGTCAAATATTATGAAAAATATGAAAAAATGTTTAAATTTTGATAATATAAAAGGTTAAATAATTTTGCAATCATTTAAATTCTTTAACTGCAAATTATAAAATAAATTGCGAAGTCTAAAATGTTGCAACGGGTGAACATTTTGAACGCAATTATGTATAATTTACAAGGAATTAAGTTACAGATTCACAATATTTGTTTAGTTTAGATTTGATGATGTGTTTAAATTTTAATTCTGCAAAGATCGAACTATTCAGTAAAGAGTTATTGCAATTTGAACATATAACTTGTACCATTAGATTAAAATTAATTTCTGAATTTATAAAACTTTTAGAATTGTAAATTTTTCACTAATTATGATGAAATCTGATTTTTCCGCTCAAAAATTCCCAGAAAATTTCTTTGCGCTTCGAACTTGTTAATACTTTATGTTGTTTTACTTGTAGAGAATCAAAATAAAGTAAATTAAAGAATTTCTTTTTTATTTTGCTATATACAACAAAACCAAGAAAAAGCTGTGAAATTGAATATTATTTCGGTTATTTTTTTCAAAAATTGTGGATTTGCGTTTAACTTTTTTTTGTTAATGTTGTGTGTACTGTTGATACATATGTATTTATCTTTAGTGATTTTTCTATTATTCTCGAGAATTCCGGATTTCCCGGGAAACTTCTTTACACTGCGATCTTTTTGATTCTTCTCGTTGTTTCAGATTAATTCAACGCAAATTAGGTAAATTAAAGAGTTAAATCATCGATAAGAACGAAAGGCTGAGAAATGGAAGAAATCTTTGTTTGTGTGAGTCTTAATTTCGATATTATTTGATTCATTTTTTTCAAAAAAATCCAAAATTTGTGGAGATGATTTTAATTCATTTTAAATTTATTGTAGGAAATTCTCAAGCTAAAATATATGCATTGCTATAGAAATAGAATATAATACTAATTGTTTTTTTTATTTTAATTATTAATTTAATCTCAATAATTCAAATCGTAATTATTTCCTTATAAAGTAAAACTTAAAATAAAATTCTAAAAAGTATTCAATTTTTAATGAATTTCAAAAACAAGTATGCTTTACCTTACAATTACAATACAAATTTATTGGCTACAATAAAAGTAAAATGAATATTAATTCTATAATATTAAAAAAAACAAATTAAAATCAAATGAAACAATAAAATAAAGTATAGAAAAGAAAAGAAGAAAGAGAAATATTTTCACTGAAATATCCTGTTTGCAAAATTTGAGCACAATATCAATCTTGATATAAACTACAATTTGGAGTCTGTAACTTAACTCCTTGCAAATAATCCATCATTGTAGAAATACACGTATGTTTTAGTTTAAACATTGACTTTAAGGACTTTATGATGTAGCAATTCTCCGCGTTTTCCGCATCTAAATCGCTCTCCGAATTCTTCAAATACTTAATATTAACCAAAAGTTTATGCTTCGCGATAAGCTTGAGTCCTTTCATCCATTGGTCTTGCGTCTTCGTTGTTATTTTAACGTCTTCATCAATTTTTTTTCATTTTCCATAAGTTAATTTCCTCGATGCAATGTGTTATCAGCAAATCGAACCGATTGCACATATTCAGCAAATCAGTGCGGAATTCTTCGTTCTCTTCGGAAATACTCAAATCCTTCCATTTATCATCGAAAATTGTTCTTTTCGCGACGATAGTATCTGTAATTTTTTCCAAACTCACAAGGCTCTTGTGAAAATACATGATATCAGTGATTTGGTACATTTTCATATACATATACATACATTTTCATATATTTTTGGTACATATCATAAAAAAAATAAAGGTTCACCGCATCAATTTCTAGAAATGTGGCATTTTCATTATGCCTAATGATTATTTATTAAAGGAAATAAATATGCAATTCAATTTATTTCATCTTAATTGTTATTTAAATCTTTCGAAAACTTTTATTAGCTCAACTCAGGACTAAAAAAATGCACGTTCTTTAGTTTATGAGAATTGGTTTATCTATTGTATCAATACCTCGCACAGTGCGGTTCCCATCAGGTCGCAACTAAATTTGAATTGAGAAAAATAAATTCTAAAAAGAAAATAACATATAAAATTATTTCTTCGTATACAAATAATTTCTTCATACAGGCAATACTCTTTTAATTTATTTCGTTCCTCTATTAGTACAGTTTCAAACAGTCCAGATTCATATTATGCTAGAAAATTGTTACACTAAATCCAATTAGTATGAAAAGATTTATTCATTAAATAATAATATATTTTATTTAGATAATAATTTTATTTCATATTTTTGTATAATGATTATAATAATATGTTAACGTTAATAAGCAATTTCATATTTTTGTATAATGATTATAATAATATGTTAACGTTAATAATTAGAATGTTAATGATCTTGAAACAGCTTTGTAAGTAGAAAGATGGAACTCAAAATGCGTGCATTCTGATCCAACTGTTGAATGATCGCACTTTCGTGTAAACAGCGGGATATCCTTCCGAACCGCATCCTTTTCCTAAAGACACAATACCCTCAGCTGACCACTGATCAGTCTCGACGTCCCTGTGCATCAACGGTCCTCCGCTATCGCCTCTGCAGGAATCCTTCCACTTTTCACCTCCTGCACAAATCTGAGTATCCCTGACTTTGATTCTCTTTCCTAACAACCAATCGCATAACTCATTGTTAACGATGGGCACCTGAACTTTCAGCAATACCTCGCTGTTCGTACCGCGCTCAGTTTTACCCCAACCGGCGACGAACATTTTGGTGTTCGGTTGCTGCTTTTCATCTGCCGGTAAGCAAATCGGACTCACGAATTCTGCAACATTTCAAAAGTTATTAGCAAAATTCTTATTAGAATCGGCAAGATTTCTGTACTCGAGTATTTGATGTCTCTGTCCAGTCTGATCAACGCGATGTCGTTCTTCACACTGTCCACGAAATCGACATGCGGCGTTAACCTCTCGAATCCCACGTTCATGACAGGATCACTGCATTCCATTTTCCTGCCAATCCTGACGCAATCCTTCGAACTGGAGACGTTCCATTCACCCAGTCGAATATTCACACTGCAATTAACAATTAGTTTGATTGTTACTACAAGAAACGTAAATGAATCAGTTAGTGTCGGCCCGCGGGCCGCATTTGGCCCTCGAAGCAACTTAAGCTCTGATTCATTGCTAAGAAATAGAAAGCTTCTTATATCTAGTTTTTATAATATATTGAAAGAGAGTCGTGATGATGAACTTACAGTCTAAATCCATCGAGGCTCTTTCCTGTAACGCAGTGGGCGGCTGTCATGATGTGTCTCTTTCCGATGAGACTTCCGCCGCACAAAAATTTGCGCTCACCGCTCGTCAAATTCTTGTATTCGAGTAATGCCATCCACGGGAACTCGCCCAACCCTGTCCTGTTACCACCGTATATCTTAAAGTCTGCATTCTGTAATACAAATTAGTTAATTTCATATTCGATTTTAAGGATCTAAAGAAAATGACCATGTAGCCACATTCACTTTTGTCAGCGATCAAATTATGCCGCGATGCCATCGTCGGAGCCGTCGGTTTTTGCTCTTTGAAGGTGGTGTCCGAGCCGCAGCATACGTAAAGGTTGTAATAGGATTTCCTGCAAACCGACTGTTGCAGGAATCTGTACGCGTCCGGACGGCCGCTCTTTCCAGATTCGTACAGCTTCGGACATGAGTAGATTGAGACGCATTTGGCCGTCTCGCCGTTTGGTGTTTTGCAGGATTCTCCTGCATTATTAATAAATTATTTATAAAATTTCAAAAGCTATAACTAACTTACTTTGTGCCAAAGCACAAGAAATAAAGCACAGTATTAATACGTATGGAATTTGCTTCATCGTCGACTAATTGTAACTGATTTAGCTTAAGTTTTCCATTACATTTATATAGAGCACTTTTTGACCGCAAAAACGTCGTGTATTGGAGAAATTGAACAGTTTTTTTCTGCGGTCGCGATACTCGCTAATCAAACATGTACGTCAAGCGTTTCCGGATTTTAGTGTTAATTATTTGCAGTAATTATAGTTTATAAAAATTTAAATAGAAATAATTTATGTTTTTTCTACTGAAATTATCATTACACTAAAACCAATTTCATGATAACGTATCAAAATCATTTCATTAAACAATGCTGAAAAAAAATGTTGCTAGAATGGATTTGGAATGATTGATGAGAAAACTGAATGATCATTCATAAGAATGTAATAATTTGGTCTCAGGATTCACATTTTAAATAAATTTTATACAAATTCTAAAATATTACTTATTGTTTCATTTTATTTATAGCTCTGAGTTAAGTAAAATATTTTTTTGTTGTTGTCTTTACAAAGCAGAAAAAGAGGATATATTAAAATATTTGAAAATTTATGTTTCTTTATCTAGAACAATATCATTTTCACCAAACACGTATTGAATAGTTTAAACAGTGTCTTTATCGAAGTGAAAACGCGTTCACTCTCCAAACCTTCTCCATCTAAAACGAAGTTCGTATCCTGCAAGGTTTCTGCAATGGGTATGATTTGATGCTTGACGATAATACTGAGACCCCTCTGCCATTTGACGTATCGCGTCCTGAAATCATCGTCGAGGGTTTCATCCTTCAGCCACTCGTTTATTTGTTCACGGAAGTCCTTTGTAATCGTGGCCAGCTGATCGCACTTGTCCACTAAACTATTCCGGAAATCTATCTCCGCTTTTCTCCTATCCAGCACGCATATGTTCGTATAATTCATCTGTTGCTTCGTAGCAGTTCTCTTCTCTATAATCGTCTTCACCTGTGACTCCACATTCCAGATACGTTTTCTGAATTCCCTCACTTTGGGAACCTTTACCAGAAGCATTGCAAACTGTCAAATTGATATATCATGGAAACGGGAATATGAACTTAAATGTTTTTTCGTGTAATACAAAAAAAAATGTAAAAAGATAAATCCGAAATTTACTAGATTAGTTGATAAAATTTAAAATGTTTCTTGCCGTTTCTTTTAATTCAAGTGAAATATGACGAATTCAATAATCTGCAGTATTTTAACCATCCAGTACACGTGCTTGAATTTATTACGTCAAGTTTTGCATGGGATACATTTGTATCCCACATTAATTACTTGCTTATTGTACACAATTTTAGGCAATAAGATGCACAATGTTTTTTTTAATGTCTTTACTAACTTTATAAATGTACTAAAAATGAAAAAATATAATATAGAATGATATATTGAAGAGTATTACTTCTTTACGCACCTAATACAAATAATTGAAATTTTCTCACTTTGATGTTTTAAAATCCACTTCTTACAGTATTATCCAATACTCGCTCTTGAATATGTTACGTCGGAGGTTACGTGGGATACATTTGTATCCCACATTAATTAGTTTCTTATAGTAATAAGTGCCTACAAAAGTAGACATGCGTACAAGGGAACTTTTAAGAACAAGATGAACTTGTATCTTTTATTACTTAACGTATTACGCAATGCTTGCACACACCTAATTATGCAATAAATTCATAAAAAAAAGTTCTATCAAGTTGCGAATTTAATGCTCGTAGAGAGCAGAAAGGTGAGACATTCAGCTTTCATATAAATATTCGATGATGTAATTATCTTGTGTGATTATCGAGTAATCGATAAAATACAAAAAAACAACGTATATTGAAGTGCGATCTGTTTTGGATTTGACCGAGTTTTATGAGGTGTCCGGTTAATTGTCGATGGTGGGCGGGGGGTGTCGAACGTCGTACGAGCTAAAGGGAGGAGTGTCAATTAGAATTTGCAATTCATCGATTCTTCGGGGGTAGTTTAAGCGACGATAAATTTTGACTCGATCAATTAATCCGCAACCACCACGCATCGACACCAATAAATTGGTGCAAACACATTCAGACTGCACCAAAATCAAGATCTAAACGTACTTTTAATCTCGTTTTTCTCCATTCAAATTTAAATTTATTAATTTACGATGTCAACTACAAGAAATATAATATTTGAAATAAAATATGTAATTATGTACTAATAAGTCCGCACATTTTAGGGTTTCCCAAAGTTTTCCTGAAACGGAACACTTCGTAAATTCTGAAATGTCCACATAATAAATGCATAATCAATACTATATAAAAAAAATAAAAAAAAACATTAATTATTGATTTAGTAATTATTTCATTCCAAGTTTTCAGGGAAAACCTATAGTTGGGGAAACCCTGTTATATTTGTTTGCGTAACTTGAGCTTGTTGGAAATTTTCTTTTTACCGGCAAGTTTCAGTCAGATTTGTTGCTTTCTAAGGACCAAGGATAATGAAAAAAAAAATACAAAATATATCCCTTTTTTAAATAAAGCATCCAGAAGGATGATGATGGCAAAGAGAAGAAGTTTGTTTAGAAGTGGCCTTATTATTCGTGATATTTCTTTTTTTTTATATATGCTTTGAATTCCCTCTGACAAGACGCGTTCAAAGGGATCAAGAAGGGCTCACGTTTGAAAGCAGTGGAGTATACGGTATGCATGGAAACATATGTAGTTAAGTGAAGGAAGAAGGATGGTGAGATGATCGCGTTGCGTACAAATATTTAGTTCAAAAGGATATTTTCGTAAGTTTTTTAATTGATTGACCAGAGAATCGCTGAAAAAAATCCGGTCACGTAACGACGCTGATTTCTATTATCATTCCTTTCTTTTGTTGTTTTCAATTTTTGGGATTCGTCGAATAATGATTTTGCGCTTTTTTTTTCTTTCTCCGGCAACCAGAATTTGTATCTGGTTGGCCTGAGGATAATAGATGGTTCGACGGATAATCCCGTGGAACGGTTATCTATATAGATAAACGCTGCTGGCTCCCCCCTTTTCAGAGGTGATTAACTGCTGCCCGTCTCACCGTGTATTGTTCCCGTCCATCACTTTCTATTTATCCCCGACGTGCATCTATAAATTCCCCACGGGAGTTCCGGCCCTGGACTCTCCTCTCCTCTTTGAATCCCGAACGCTGCTCGATGCAAAAACCGGGGCGCCTCATAATCCAATAACATAGCCCATCCATTTACACACACACACACACACACACACACACACACAACGCACACATCGAGCTTTAGTAATCGAAATTACGTAAAGTCGTGACTCTCGCTTTAGTTCAATTCTCTTTCTATTCGAATATTCCTATTTGCTTGCATGCATATACCACTATGTGTGTGTGCATTATATAATAATTTGGGATGGGAATTGGAATCGAAACTGGCAATCGGCATGATCGATTCGCCATTATTATTGGACGCATCGAACTGTGAACTATTGCTTGATACATCAATGCGGACATAATCTAAATGAATTAACATCATTTGTTCCCGTTTTACTGCCTCCATCACCCCCGGCAACGGTAGCCGCCCAAAAACAAAAACCCTTCCAACGCCACCCAATTAACTAAATTCATCGTTGGCATACAACTATAATAGCACCTTCAATAAATGTATTATATATCATTAATTTCAATTTGCTTCATTTTTTTTTATATAATATAATTTTACATCAAATACAAACAAATTTTTATATTTTTTTTTATCAAAATGTCTGTAAAGTTTCTGAAAAAAGTTGATAAATATACGCGAAAAATATTCTTTAACATATTTGTAAAATTTCTATGAGAATTTCTAAAAAATATCTAGAAGTTTTCTATTTAATTTCTATTGTACAATTTATAACTTTAAAAAATATTTCAAAAATTTGCTGGAATTAGTTGAATTACGTTTTTAACACTTGATAATTTCCAGTAAATATTCTTCATTCATGAGTTCCAAAGTACAAATAATATACACAATACAAAAGTTCGCTAAGTTGTCTTTAATTCATTTGTTTCTGAAGAAACAAAAGTTGTTTCTCAATTTGTTAGTCCAACGATATTTCACTTCAAATTTCAAGAAGATCGGTAATAATGAATATGGATTTCGACGTCAACTGAAGCCTCGGCAAATTTTCCAGGAATGCCAAAATGCATATGGAATGAATGCATCATCCCTTGTGACTATTTCCAAGTGGTTTCAAAGATTTTAGACCGGACCTCGTGAAGGTTGCCCGAAATCTTTAACCGATGTAGCCCTGGCGAAGGTAAACATTGACGAAGATCAAAGAGTGACACAAGAATTGGTAGTTGATGAACTGGGCTTGAATGCCATAACTTTGTCGCAAATATTAAATCACCACTTTGGCTGCACGAAGAAATCAGCTCGATGGGTTCCACGATTTCTGAATGACGACCAAATAAAGGCACGTGATCGTTTTGCCCAATATTTCTTGGAAAATTTTGAAAATGGAAATAGCACTTACAGTAAAATCGTAACAGATCATGAATCTTGATTCTATAAGTTTGACCTGGTCCATGGTATGGAGCGCAGAAAAATGTCGATTTACTTTACCAGGGTAAAAGTGGTAGCTGCTATTTCACTCGAAACTGGTCAGAGGATAACTACTAAATAGTACACATAAACTTGCTTGTCACAAGTTTTCAAAAATTTGTTAGCTACTTTTTACATCACGATAATGAAAAAACCAACAACTTTCTTGCGCTCTCTGGCATCAATGAAATTTGCCCAGGTCCTTTTTCTAACGACCAAGCGCCTTGTGATTTCTGGCTGTTTCAGAAAATTTAAAAAAATGAAGTAAAGACTCTTTTGTTCCAATGAAGAGACAATAATATAAAAGATGAAAAGCTCCAAAAAGCCAATTTTGAGGAATCTCTACTGACTTAAGAAATGTATTGAAATAAATGGAAATTATGTAGAGAAATTACAAAAGGATGAAAATTGAATATATTAAAATAAAATTGATATTATTTTGTTTTTTTCCAGTCAACTTAAATTTAACTTTTTGTGCCAAAAGATTAATC